TGAATGAATGTAAATTCTTACGAGATTCGTGGTTTGAATATAAAGTTGTTTTTAATCGACGTTGTTCTTGGCGTTGTTGCTTAACTTTTGTTGTTTGGGCGGCGAGTGACTGTCTGCACTTTCGACCATCTGTTTGTTCAGTTATGTTGTTTTCGGGCGTTCGTTTGCTTCCGCCGGGTTTGCTTTGCACTTGTTTGGCTGCTCATTTCTCTGCCGTTCATGCAGTTTACATGTATTATTGTTTGGGCAGGAGACATCATCGTAAACTCCTATTAAAGTTTTGAAATGTTTAAAACATAGATGTATATAGCTAGGCTAGAAGTTCCTTTGCTTCTTTGATGTTTATATGAAAGAAGACATCCCTACAGCGTTGGAGGAGTTTTCCTTCACTTTGAAACGAAGCGACACAGAAACAAATCCTCCACGAAAACATCCACGTAACGCACGAGTAACATACGCGGATGAACTGGGGACTATGTCTAAAAATAACTCAAGAGGAATTACCTTGGTTATAAGACCTATATGGAGGATTCACTCTCTAACCTTGATAATCTCTTCTGTTTACACAACGCTACACTTTGGTAGGTTAGCAGCAACTTCCGCCAAAACTGGTATGACTTGCAGCGCTTTATCAAGGAATCCTGGCTTTTTAACCTTCTGCCGTCTGCTCTGATTCTGCTGCAGTTGTTTCAAGTTCTCCATCATTTGAAGTATTTCTTTATTTGACTTCTGCATTTCCACAAGTCGTTGGTTCAGTGCCTGATTTTCTTGCATAAAAGCTCGAGAGGTAATGAAACCAGCATGTGTCCGTCTACAAACTAGGTGCTGGAGTAAAAATGTTTTATCGCCACAAGATAACGAAGGAATCAAGACATTTATAAACCACATCTAGTTGCTTGAAAGTAAAAATGTAAATAAGACTCTGTTATTGTTTAGAAGTCATTCCTTGGGTTGATCTGCGTGTCTCACTTGACGTTTCATATAAAATACTACTCTGACGAGGCGTGGTATGAACCAGCATCACAGGAAAGCAAGTGTTAGATCAAAACTCTCCTTACGCTTAATCAAACGTTTTCCATCATTTTAGTTGGGAGAATTTCGCTTACACGATAAGTTAACGCAGATGAGTTTACAACATGAGTTCAAGGAGATGACGAGGCTCTTTATTCTCATAACCCACATATTGCTATTTAACATAACTGAGGTGAGGAGAAGTTATGGCTACATCAGTCATAAGTAGGAATAATTGAACATCACATCACAGCTGTTTGTCTCACTTCCATTTGCCGTTCACGATTTTCTTGTTGTAAACAAGCGTATTCCTCCTAACTTGAAAATAAATATTCAATAAAAATTTTTAATAATAAGTTAATGGTTTCAACAGCCCATTTCTGAGTTGCCTTAAGCTTCGCGATATATATATCAAGCGAGGCCTGGTACACAAGAATTTATATGAAAATGAGTTTAATTTGCATGTGAATAAAATCTCGTTTTCACTTGAAAGGATGGGTACCAAGACTCGCTTTGAGAAAGAGGCTAAAGGTAGTTTGGAAATGGTCAATTCATATCACATTAGATGTTTGGTCAACGAGGCCAGCGCGCCTCCCACAAGTTATTTTTAGAGCACGCCTAGTTTCCTAAATCCCAGGAGGGTCTAGAAAGGGCCATTTCTGTGACGCAGATTTTGGTCACGTGGACAGCCCAAGCAGCCTGTACACTCTTTCATTCTCCGCGAAAACATTCACCCAACGCCCTTGGAAACATTATGCCCGAGAAAAACTGGGTCAGTACCATGTTTAGAAATAACTTGAGAGAGATTACCTTGGGCTGAATAAAATTGGAATGGTGGAGTAACTCTGTTATCCTTAATCATCTATCTCCGGGAGAGAAGTGAGAGAAGTCGAGGCTGAAGAGACAGAAAAGATCAGAGTAAGTTAAAAAATTATGGTTTTGTTGAGTGGTTAGTGTAGACATGGAATGGCTTGATTATGTGAAAACGCGAGGTAAAGATTTGAAAATGGGTGAGGCACTTTCTTCTTGGAAGAAGTAACAGATCTTTCACAACTGGACAAGATAATATCAGCGAATATTCTTCAATGTTTTTATTCATTCGAGTTTCTTCCTCATGAGTACCCTTGGGCAATATGAAAGTTATAATTACGACATTCAAGTACTAAAATACACTCACAGCAAAAGACAAATAATTCTCGCTTTGTTCTGGACGTAGTTGGGGATCAAGATCTGTGATTCTGATCATCCTGGATTAGTCTGTGTCGAGTTTAGTAGCATTTCACAGTTAATTCTTTATGAAACATGTCTATTCACCAATCAGTCAATCAATCGATCGATCGATCGATCAATCAATCAATTTATGACACATCTGGACATTTTTATAGAAAGGCTCGTTGGTCAGTGGTTGCCTGGCATTATTAACTCTAAGGTTATTTCAAATTATAAATACTTTTTGTAGGCGCTGGTGTAAAATAAAGCTGTCATGAGCAAACTGTTGTGTCCGGGAGGGACCAAAACAACAGACATTAACGCAACATGCTTTAATACTATACGGTCGATTCCTACAGCTAGCACAATTCTCTCCCGCTACCGCCGGTCAGCGGTCAGTTAGGACTTCATGTTACTACACAGCCTGATCAGCTACCTTATACGTAAATTTTTAGAACAATGAATGCAGTATAATTCCATCTCACTCGCACTTTCCTTTTATGATTTTATAGCGTCAAAACGTACATTTGGCGGAAAACAGAAAGGATATTGAAGACCGGGTAAGTTGTGCTCAAGAAACTCACCACTAACCCACGACAAAACTATTGAACGATTTTTGAATAACGTCTTATCGTGTTTGGACAGTCTGGAAACATGTTCAAGTTTATAATTTCACCAAATAGACCAAAAATGGGACGCTCTCTAAACAAGGATACCATCAGACCAATATTTTGTTATTGTTGCTATTGACGTAAATAAAAGTTCAGGAGTTCAAGATTGTCAGAAGATGGAGATGGGGCGAGTTGTCTATTATAGTTTCTCCGTTGTAATAGGGTGACAGACTTTGCCTCTCGTCGCTTCTCCTCTTACTGCTCAGCTCCGCCTTGGGCAACCTTAAAAATTGCTGAGGAGGAGGGGAGGGTAATTTACAATGGACTGTCACCCGATCCAGGGGGTGTGGGGTGGGGTGTGGAGTAGCATTGCTCCTAGATGGTTCTTTATGTTACCGAAGCTAAACATGAATGCAGCTCGGGCAGCTGTTGAGGGAGTAGGTTTGAAACAGTTTTAAGTTTTCTAATCTAAGACATACGTAGCTTTTAAAATATTAGTTAAGTTGTGCAAACTAGTATAGACCTGATTTATAATTATTTCTTTTAAATATCAATCGAAGATTGCCAGAAGTTTTCTTGTCGAAAGTGATTGCCTTAATCAACTCGTCCTCAAAGTATTCACTAATTTATATATTATTCTCAGATTGCTCGCTTGGAACAGGAACACATTGAAGAAGAAAGAAAGGTTAAACGTATGAAAGATAAACAGATGCGGGCACAAAGAGAGCAGACAGAAGCTGCAGTGTGTGCAGCGAGGGAAAGGTCGGCAGCAGAAAAGGAGAAATATTCACGACAGCAAAGAGAACTACAAGCTCAGATAGAGGCAGCAAGACGAAAGCAACAAGAACTAGAAGCAACCATTAACACTCTGCGAGAAAAACTGAGAAGAATGTAATGTCAAAGACAAACTGCTTAAATAGGTGTCCGTTTTGATACAAAGGTATCGTAGTATATGCAAGGATATTACAACTCTAACTTTTCTTGAAAAAGTTTCATCAGGTCTTCTCAATATGGGCGTGCGCAAATTTTGTTCATGACACTGTTTTTTTCACGACTTGTGATTTTTTAAAAATGTAGAAACTATCGACTGATATCATGAAAAAGGCCAGGAGTCAAGCTTTCAAATGAATTTCATTTATTATCTGTCGCCCTGCGGTATAATTAAAGAATTAGTGTGTTGAAAAGTAAAAAATTCGTGTGGAGTGGCTCTTTATAGTTTCAATTTAGGAGTGATATTCGTTTCAGTTCAACGAGATGTTCTGGACAATGCAACAGAGATCGAGGACAAAAACAGTAGACGTTTATTCACAACGAAAACAAACGTCATACGAGACGAAAAGGTTAAATTTCTGTGAGCCATAGATTTGCAGAATCTGAACAGAAAAAAACTGAAAATTCTTAAAATAATATAGTTTTCCCACCTTGTTAGTCTTGTTAATGTGACATGACCTATTGTTATCTTGAAAACCTACCTAGCTAAGCAAAAAAATGCAAGGTGGCTTATTATGAATAGCTTGTGTATATAGTAGCTAGCCGTGCACGTGAAGCAGTTTATTATCAGTTGTAAAGTGTCCAGGCTGGAGCACAGTACCGTGTTGAATACATCATCTGGTAGAGGTCCCTAATAGGGTTCTTCAATCTCTCTGACCCGACCAGAATTTTCCCTCAATCCCGTAATCCCGACGGTTTCTATCGGCTAATTCCAATCACGGTAGTTCCTTACCTCAATATGAAAGATTCTTTTCAATACAGGTCCCGATTCCCTCACAGCGAACTCAAGCAGTGACTATGAAATCTCTCTCCACCCAACACACTCATCGTTTTCGCTCCTGTGAGTAGAGCATAAGGCTACAAAAAGATGATAAATGTCTTCACCATCAGTCAAATATATTCCGCATAGATACGTTATAGTACAGTCACTGCTTAGCTATTTCCGCCATTCAGCAAGATGACAGCTTGATTTTCCTTGTACATTTCCCATAATTTCGGTTCTTTAAAGTGAGATCGTTCGATTCTCGCTTCGTAAAATCGTTAAATCCCGTGTCCAGCTGTTCATAATTAGCATCCCGAAATTAGCCTTCGTTTTCCTACAAAATCGAATGCCGGATCCACGTAAAACCTCTTGAAGACCCTCGCGGTAGGCTTAAATAAATTTCACCATACAATCTCATAATATAGTCAAACCTGTATTAAGCAGACCGCATATTAAGAGGACATCCTCTACTAAGCGGACAGCAACACAAGTCCTATTTTCCTCCCCCCACAGATTTGTTTTAAAAAATACCTTCATTCAATGGACACCTCTATTGAGGACGTTCGCGCGAAAATTTTCCAGTCGATAGGTTTTTGTTCAATTTTTACTTCAGTCAGACAATGAATTACTTGTGTCAGAAATGCAAAAACAAACAAACAAACAAACAAACAAACAAACAAACAAACAAAGAAACAACAACAATAACAACAAAATAGGGGGTCAACTGACTTCGTTTCAGAGATAAAGCGTGTGGAAAACTACCCTGATTTTGAAAAATTTGCGCCTGACGTAATTAAGCATGGTCTACAGGGATTTATAGTTAAAAATATCGAAGCTGAGTCAACGGAGGCAAACAATCTTAGTCATATTTTGTAGACGTGGGTCTGCTGCGTAAATAATTCCAAATATTGCCAACGTTTTCACAAAACTTAACCCTTGAAGAGGCATTTGAAACTGTCGCAGAGATGAACGAAGAGCTGAAAAGAACGGAATTCGATAATGCATTTTGCAAAAAAAAAATTCAAAATTCTAGTCAATACATTTTCTCCATTTTTTCACTAAACGTAGGAAATCGGTAGAGAAAATGATCCATCAAAAAAAGAGTGGGGGTCACCCACAGAACTACCCAAAGACATGTCTGTAAAACTAATTACATAATAAATTCAAATGATCACATAGAGTTACCTGTCATCGTTTATGGACATAAGGTATTTCATAGTTATCGTACGTTTACAGCAATGCTATTTGACTCTTTCTAGGCCTTTTTTGCCGAGGAATATTTAATAGAAAAGTTTAACACTCACCACGAGGTCCCTATGCCCATAATGCTTACAACCCTGCGATACAGTTAGCTTGTGAACAGGTACTCTAGACCCTCTAGTCGAGGATGGGGCGAAGAGAAAGCGCGCGACTTCAGTCTCAGCCAGTTTCTTTTAGGCTGTGCACAGGCTACGATACAGTGGAAGTCACTTCCACTGTATCACAGCCAATCCGCCGGGTGGATTGGCTGTGATACAAATGTTCAGTTTACATTTACTTAATAAATTTTGGTCCCTGCATGCAGCCTTGGATCAGCCATGGATCAGCCATGTGGATATAATGATCTTTAAAATCTGTCGTGACACACCGGATTCCTGTTCGTGATGACGTGTTTCGTGTTGCGCAAGTGAATTTTGATGAAAACAAAAACAGCTAATCACAACGAGACTGAATGCCACAAGATGAAAGCACAATTCTTATTGTGAAGCTGGTACAAGGCGTTATTTGAAACCGTTTGATTTTGCCCGGCTGAACATAGGGAAAAGAGCGCTTTTCAGCATCATTTTCGATAGTTATTTTGAAAACTGTGGGTTACCCTAGCGTTCTGGAATATAGCGCTGCCACAGAGAGGACTTGGAAACGAGGAACTCTTAATGAATCGGCCAAAGTTTCTTTGCTTCAAATTCTTGCGCGACGTCGCTTGTCGATTTATCAATTTCCTGCTCCGATCAGTGATCGTTAGCCGATTTGCCTACCCAGTTAAAATTGTCGATTGATGAAATTGATTTAACTTAACCATATCCATGGCTGATTATAAGACTTAACTGATATCAAGGCTGACTATGCAACATATGTTAGCTAAAGTCAAACTTTTATTGGCAATTTGATCAACATATTACCGGCTGAATGAGGATCCACGGTTGGGTTTCAAACTTTGCAATGCTGGGAAAGTTAATTTCCAGGTTGTTATGTTCCTTCTTATGCTGATC